GGGGCGAACGGCGCGGTGCATGGCCTTCGAGCCGATCCCGCGCATCGCCTTCCATGCGAGGGACATCGCTGAGTTTTAGTGGGTAAACTCCTGTTTCTTGTCTAGACCCTGGGGGAGTGGGGCCACAGGAGGTATCCCACATCACCCGTGGAGCCTGCGCAGGGTGAAGCGGGTATGCGTAACGCATTTCTCAGCGTCAAAAAAAAAGTGTCCGAAGTGAATTTCGAAATGACATAGAAATCAAATATCTGAGACACGTATATTCAATCAATATTATTTTGTATTTTATACAGAAAATGGAATTAATAGAATTTCTATACTAATAGACGTGAATAGGAACACATGAGTGAATTCGAATTCGAGTCTGGATTTTTAAAGAATCGCAGGGCAGATAATAGAAAAATCTATACTAATATTATAAAGCTGAAGAGTTTGTTTGTTTGAATGCGCTAATCTCAGGAACTACTGGTTCCAATTGAAAAATTATTTTTGTGTTGAATAGACCATTTATCGAGGAAGGCTTTAGGCTATATAACATCACGCTGCAACTATTGGGAGCGAAGAAATAATGGAAAACGCGGACGAAGTCGCTGGCGGCCACTAGTGTTAGATACGTTTTTTTTTGGAAAGAAGAAGAAATGGGGTATGACTGGTTCACACGTAATTACTAATTAAGTAGGTAGATTCCAATTTTAAATTCAATTAAGCTCATATAGTTACCTAAATGATTTATTTACTACTTATTATTAGAGTTTTTAAACGTGCTTAGTATTTAAAGTTTAAAATCTACTTTTACTTATCTACTTAATAATGTGTAGTGACAGACAAACATAATATATAGTTATCATCTCTATTATATACAGTTTACTTACTATAGGATAGAATAGTTAAGTGATTACGGAGAAAAATATCTTTGGGCGACCAGAGAAAATATTCATTGAATGCTTATGGAATAGTAAATAAATTTTGTTCTTCTTTTTTTATTCAGTCTAGACTGTTAGAAGCACATTACGCATTATCGATATAAGATCCAATGTCAAAATGGAGTGCAGTAGAGATCACCAATAATGATATTTCAAAATTGCAAACCATTTATAGAAAATACGATTAACTTATTTTGACACATTGGAGATGTGCACTTTTTTCGGTATTAAATACTCTTTTAGGTTGTCAGTTGAGTTCTTATGCTGCTTCAAACTAATCTCTGAATGATATATCATGCTGACAGATCAACTATCAGCAGACCGATCACGATTGACCTGTCAGTTGAACAGATCAATCGAAATTGACCTATGAATTAGACCATCAATCAAAATTGAATTGCGAATTAAACGGGTCAATCGATCTTAACTACGAATTGATATAGGATTAATAGATCAATCAAGGTTGAAGACGGATCAATTAAGATTAATCTACGAATGGGGTAGATCAACAAAAATCTATGAATTGGAGAGATCAGAGTGGTTTACGAATTATTTGAGAAAACAAGATTGATATTGATCTATGAATTGGATGGATAAATTGATATTAATCTACGAATTCGATGGATCAGTTAAAAATGATAGATTAATCATGACTGTTTCATTATAAATGATTATTGGTCTACAGATTGGTTTTATTGATCAACGAATAAGATGGATCAGTTGAACAGGACAGACGATCAAGATTGATCTACGAATTACGTACGCACGGGTCAATCGAGATTGAGTTACTTATCAGATCTCTCTGATCAAGATTGATGTATTATCATTTAATATTGACCCATGGTCAATTAGCATTGATCTACGGTTGGGAACGTCAATCAAGATTGATCCATGAATTGGACGGATAAATTAATATTTATCTGCGAGTAGTCGGAGCAGTTAAGATTTATCTATGAATTAAATAGATTAATCAAGATAAATATACGAATTGGATAAATTGATTTACGAACTAAATGGATCAGCTTAGAATATTCTATGAATATACTCGTACAATTCATTCTCAAGTTCAATTAAGATTGGTCAATGAATTAGATAGATCATTCGAAATTAATTCATGAATTAAACGGATATTCGGAGTCGAGATACGAGATTAATCTACGATATGAAATTGATAGTCGAATAACAGTTCAATTTTTTTATCAGTTTTCTATGAGATAAATAATATGAATGTCTGTTTGTTCAGGTGCATTCCAAGATCACAACATAATAACAGGCGAGATGAGACATTACGTGTTTAAATATTACGTTAACAGAATGACCAAAGCCACAAATATGGTATTATACAATGTCTTGGAGAAGGGAATAAAGTAAGTATCCAATATATAAGTTTTAATATTATAAATCGGTTAAGTTTCTAAGCTTTGTTTGTTTGTTTATCTTCGGAAATAAAAAACGAAAGCACTAAAAAATCACCTCCACTAGATGGCGACTCTAGCTAAAGTTAATTTTTGCAGGAAACGAATGGACCAAAGACAGTCATTTCCGTTCCTTTTAACTGACATATTAAAAACTGAAATTTGCAAAGTTTGAAACTTAGATATCAATACAAATGCGAAAAAAGAACAAATAGAATATGAGTTGGTTATTGAGTTTTGAAAACTAATTTACTTTTAAACTTGAAAGAAAACCGGAAGGGTTGTCAAGAAGAAATCAAGAACGTACCGTAGCGACATCTAGTTTGATTTCGGGAACTAATTTTTTTTTAAGTACTTCCTCTTTTCATGAATTCAGTGTTTCTCCCATAATAAAAGTCAGTATACTTAACTGATCCACTCCACGAAGTCCTGAGATATAATAATATTACACCTTATATTAACACGGAACAGATTGGTTTCATGTTTTTATGTATGCACCCTCTTATTAAGTTTTCTATATTAAAAGAAACTTTGCTTTTCAGTAAACTGAGAAATAATATAAACGACACGCAAACGCTGATTATATGCAAACTAAACGTTTCCAGGTGCTATCCTACTGAAGGAAAACATATGTTTGTAAGTATATAACATTTACAAAAAATATATTGGACTAGCTTATGCCCGCGACTTTGTCCGCGTGGTAAAGTTACTCTGAGCAGCATTTCTAACGAATATTTATTATATCGTGTAAAAAACCTGAAATTTATATTTTAATCCCCCATTTTATCCTCTTAGGGGTGGAATTTATCAAAATCCTTTCTTAGGGAATGCCTAAGTCATAGTGACTTTATGTAAGCAAAGTCTCAGTCCGATCCGTTTAAAATTGACAAAGTTTCATACAAACTTTCATCCCCTATTTTATCTCCTTGGGGATAGCATTGATCAAAATCCTTTCTTAGCAAATGCCTACGTCATAACATCTACCTGCATGCCAAATTTCAGCCCGATCCGTCCGGTGGTTTGGGCTGTGCGTTGATAGATCACTATGTCAGTCAGTCACCTTTGAGTTATATATATTTAGACATTGTGTACAAAAATCTTAATATTATTTCCACATTAGGGAATATACACGCAACATTAAGGCTTTGAATAAAGATTTTTTTTATATATTTTTATTAAAAAAAGCATCATTCATATATAATTAGTTAAGATCTAAAAATAATTTTAATTGTTATAAAGGATATTTTTCAGTATAACATTTTGAATGCAAAATTGATAATGATAGATTTCATTTTCGAAATTTTCCGCGAAAACGCCACTTCCGTCCGTTCTACGCGCTATTAGCGGTCACGTGGCAACGAACATAAAATATTTGTATATTCGTAATTAATTGAAATAATATTATAAATATAATAAGCATAAAAGTGTGATTATCGGTAATAGTATATTTAACACTACCAGAAAAATGATAATATGTATTTTTCGTTTACTGTCTACACCCGTATTGCAAAAAACCAAGCCTTCCCAAAGTGGGCAAAAAGCCCCCTTGTGGGCGCTGCAGGCCTAAAGGGGGCGGCAATACCCAGAAGAAAAATGGGGGCGTCGTGTATGTACTTAGGGAGGCGATTTGTAATTTCATTTACAATAATTAATATAATTTGAAGTTATAAATATGTGCTTTTGAAGTAGGTAACAAAATGGGGGCACTTAAATTTTTTTTATTCTCAAAGTAGGCAGTAGACGACATAAGTCAAAAATTGCGCCAAATGAATGCCCTCTGCCGCAAAGATTTCTTATAAATCACTGGCATATAATTATTGCAATTCCTTTGCTGTACTTCTAATAAACTAATTGTCGTCAGAATACCAAAGTTTTGAAATGTCCCTTAGATAATAATTTGCCGGTTTTTAGGACAAGACCAAGAAAATGGCTGATTGTCGCGCCCTAGGCTGCATTATTAACCTAGGGGTTAATCAGGCACTGCGTGAAAATTACCAGAATTGAGGCCCAATATTGTTTCATTGATTTCAGATAGTAATATACAATCCTCTCGCATGGCCCGTGTCCATTCCAGTGAGGCTACCAATGTTCCAAGTGGAGCAAGTCGTTTATGACCCTAAAGGTATTGATTTAATTATATGCAGCTTTTTAATGTCCCCATTGCTGGAGCTCAGGCCATCTCTATGGATGAAATCGAATAGGGACAATGCAGTATGTATCGGTGGGTACTTAACGACTGAAAAAGCCGGGCCCACCGGCTTTACGTGCCTTCCGAAGCACGGAGCTTGAGATAATAAATTTTCGGTCACCCATCCTATGATTGGCAATTACGAAAGTTGCTTATTACCGGCCGAACACGATATCAGGACTAGGGCAAAGAAATAATGAACAATATAACAATATAGTTAGAAGAGTTTGATGGCTCAGAGATTAGTGCGTCGGTATGATGTGGAAGTTAAGCAACTTTCGCAAAGGCCAGCCATAGGATGGGTGACCGGAAATTTATTATCTCAAGCTCCGTGCTTCGGAAGGCATGTTATGCCGTTGAGCCCGCCTGCCTAAGTTGTTAACTAACTAGGCTAGCGTTTTTGTGATTTGATTCCATTATAACGAAAGACCTGTACTTCAGCAGTGGGTGAGTGGGGACATTAATGGGTCGGTGATGACATCTATAAACCCCTTTCAAGGTAAAAAAGTAAAAGCTGGGCAGATAGAATTACCGGAGCCGGTACGTAACATACCAGAGAGGCGGAGCAAAGCTGATTTCGAGCTGGTCTTCATCGCGGAGGACCTTCCGCCAATGGGAATAAGGTTTATATTGAATCACTATACCACTATAACAACAACTAGATCGTTGTCAAGCAACTTACGCAAGGGTCGGTCAAGGGATGGGTGACCAAAAATATTATCTCCCAAAACACATCAAGTGCTATTGTCTCCCACTACTCCGTGATTCGGAAAACACATTAAGCCATTGGTTCCGGCTGCATTTGCAATTTGCATTCGTTAATACCCTACAATCCGCATTGGGATGGCGTGGCCCATCCTCCTTAACCATAAGGAAGGTCTGAGCCCCTGCAGTGTACAACGGCACGTTAATTTCTATAAATCTGGCAAATTTCTCCACTTTATTTTAAGCCTTAATAGCTTTGAGCGTAGAGCTTAAAATAAACTGGAGATTTCATCATTTCAATATATTGTAACCTGGGCAGGCGACCGCATAATTCTCTAGCTATGGATCTAGGGGGCAGTCCATTTATCACGTGATGTTTTTTCTGCATATTTTGCCCGCCTTCCCCTTGATGATACATGGTGAGGTTTAAAACCTTTTTCCCAAATCACGTGTATATTTTGTACCTACAAAAACTCTTAATTTTTGACGCCGCTTTTCGTATAAGTAATTGCGCGTTTGAGGAAAAAATAAATACACGTGATATATAACTACACTCCCCCTTGTGATATTTCGTGATTTTGATGAACCCCCCCTCATTTCAAGCGTTATGTTATTAATGAAAACCCCAAATCATAGGATACGACACCTGTTGACGATGGTAGGTACAATCGGCCCGGTCTTATTATATTCATATAATAAAATAGCAATATCATGTGTTTAATGTAATAATAGTTATCCATTGCTTTAATAAACAGTATGTTTCTCTGATGGTGCAAAACCGATGTCGGACTGACTTGCTACCCTCATCCTAATGAGTCGTTAGAATGAGACAGCGCAACTCCAACCAATAGGAAGAGGGCGCTCGCGCACATCGTGCTGCACCACCATCAGGGGCTGTAGGGGCAGATCTACCAGACCCAGGGCTCCGTGGATACAAAAGGGCTCAGAACCCCCAAAAAAAAAATATAAGACACGATACTTTTACATTGGGTACCATTGAAAACAGTTTCTCAACAAAATTACAATTACTTCAGTAATTAATAGACTTTTGATTAGTATTAGCCCAGAACTCCACAAATTCACGATCCATCCCTGGCCGGCTGATCTTCCTCAAGGACAAGGACAAGGAAAGAACAAAGCGCGCGATTCGCTACGAGGATATTTGCACTATTCGGAATATTTGCTATTCCAAATACGGACGTTTTCATTCAATTACCAATCCTCTCAAACCATCGTGGCCTAGTTAACAACATCTTTGAACAAATCTTTCACAGTACAAGCTGCTCGCCTCTTGGCATTGCCGGAGGATATTAGGCGTGCACAAACTATTAACAGTTTTAAAATATTAGTTGAGGAGCACTATTTATCACTGAATTCATTGCAGCAATCATAATTAGGGTTACCACCCGTACTTTATAATAAAGTATTGTACGTTATTTCAGACAATTGTACTCTATACTCTATAAGAAAAATAAAGTACACGAAAATACTTTATGTCGTATGATTTGATTTGTTTGTGATTTTGAAGCTTAGTCGTAAGTATTTTTTCGTTAAACAAAATTTATCGATTCATGCAGAATAGATAAATAAAAAGAAAATGTATTTTTAACTTTAGTAATAAAGAAAAATAAATAATACTTTATTTTGATTCAATTTACTTTGTTTTTGTACCTATAATAACTAATGTACTTTAATTGAGGAAAAAAAAGGTGGCAACCCTAATCATAATCCTAACTTTGCATTCTTAAGTAAGTGTATATGTATCTATTTATGTGTCTATGTATTTATGTGTCTATGTATATATATGTGACTAACAGCCAGTTGCAGAAACGCCCATTAAGTTTTTCATTAGTTTAAAGTGACATTACCCATACAAATTTGACATTTATTAGAGCTTAAAGGCGTCATTAAACCCTAATGGACGTTTGTGCAACTGACCGTATGTATGCTTATGTATTATAAACAATTTTCCTGCTCAACCATTAATGTTTTGTTATGTTATGGTATACCTGTAGACTTCTTAATGCACCATAGAATACTCAATTTTTCAACTGTACCCTGTATGCTATGTTAAGGTTGCCTGGAAGAAATTGCTTTTTAGCAATAAGACCGCCAATTGTACTGTTCTGTTAGATTATTATATATTTGTTCATTCACTTATGGTGTGTGTAATAAAGAGTATTTCATTCATTCATTCTTATCGATATTCCATTATACTACGTTAACATGTATTTTATAAAAACGAACGTATGCTAAAGAATTATGATTGTACATTGGACAGCAGAACCATCAAATTAGTATTTATATCCCAAATTCATCCACCAAAAGACATTCCAAAGCAATATGAAAGGAAATATCGTCATAAGATCAGTAAGATGTCGTATCCTATAGCTAGATTTATGGCTAGGGAGTTATACCTGTGATTTTTAATTTAAACGCTTTCTTAAGAAAAACACTACACTCCTAGACAATGTCCTCAGTCCTTATAATAAATGTATTTCCGTTATCCAGATCCTACTATTTGCAAAGACACCAAATTGGCTGGGAGCGACCAAGAAGATCATCAAAGACATCGCAAAAAAGCCGTATCAAGAAAAAGGAACGCATGATCCGACAAAATTCGTTGTTAAACGAAAACGACCTGCCTGATTACGAATATTTCGATGACGTCACCACAGAAACTGTGAATCAATCCACGAACCCTGAAATTAATAATACTAGAAAGACAGATACAATCGTCAATAATACTTCAACGACTACAACTACAGAAGTTCAAACTATTAAAACAAATAATGTCCTTCTACATGCTGTTTTAATGAATGATGAAACATTTACTACTGAAGATGCTGTTCCAACAAATTCTGCAATAATAAATGAAGAAGCCATACCAGAAACTACAACAAACGAAGTTTTTAATACACAATCATCAGTAACTTGGACGCCAAGACCTATTTCTTGTAATAAAAGCAAAGCAGATACCAACGAAGGAATAATAACATCCATTGCTACAGAAAAATCACACGGAACAATAGTTAAAACAGAACCATCAGTAATTTGGGCATCACATATGGCAAATAACGAAATTGACACAGACGAATCAGATAAAACGACGACTACCACAGAAGAAACTGCTTCTACAGAAAACAATGACAAATCAACAGTTGTCTCAGAAGAATCGGTACTGGGGGCACAGACAACTGAACCAGTTTATACGGAAAAATCAGCTAGAATGACTGTTACTACCCCAAAATATATAGAAGCAGATGTTACAGTGATAATGAATGATAAACATGTATTAACACCCAAAATGAGGGCATCGGGATTTCAGAGCGAGGATATACGACAAGATTTTATGATGAAAGCACCGAAACTAGATGAAGATGATGATCTTGATGAATTCGATTATTGGGCTGGCTACCCATCTTACATTATGAATGAACATTCGTACATCAGGAATAGGGTAAGCATTTCTTTTTACCCGACTGCGCGACGCAAAGGAGGGTAATGTGTTTATCAGTCTATGTATGTGTTTGTTTCTATGTGGCGTTCTAGAGACCAAATGCCTTGGTCGATTTTGATGATTCTTACGTCAATCGATTCGTCTTAACCTTGCGAGTGTGACATGACAGTAATCAAAATTCACAACAGCGACAACCAGACGCCATATTGTCAAAATGAAAAAGAAATCGATGAACTATATCAGTGGGGTGTCGTTGAATGGGTATTTTAAAATCATCTTTAGGTTCCTTTTATCATTTTCCATTTTAAATAATAGTTTAGGATATATAACGATTTAAAGTTGTTTAACAAGACATTCTCGCTAATTTTCTTACTTATTGATTTAAGTTTTTATTTAAAGTATAAACGATATACAAACAAAAAAAAACAGTGAAAAAGCATGAAGAACATATATTTTTGATAAAAAAATAAAGCATATGTAGCTTTGAGCCGAGTTAGGTCTCTAAGAGGGACTAATCATCAGTAGTTTAGACCACCGCAAGTTACTTAATAATCCCCATGATATTAATTCCCTCAATTAAATTACTAGATTGTGAAATTTACCATTTCATAACGCAGTCAACGAATCGTAACTAAAAAGTATAAAATAAAAATAGATAATTTAAAGAAAAACAAAAAACCCGACTGCGTAAAACGAATTTGAAAATATACATGAAAAAGTTAACTTAAATAAAAACTAAAAAGAAAGAAACAAGCCCAGTAGTTTAGAATTCTGTTAAGTAATACAGAACAGAACGACTCACAGTCGGGGCCCAATCAAATCTTCCCAAGGGGAATTAAGAATCTATCTCGTTTTAGCTACGGAAGGTGTAAAAAAAAACATCAAGTCAAAAAACCTTCATTTCCTTCACGCAAAATTACTAACACGACTTTTTTCACAAATTTTGGTTTCATTTATCATAGCGACAATGAAAATTATTGACATCCTACTAAAAAATTTACAGGAAATAGTGATTTTTATTAAGCCTTATTTTTTACTTTTTTTGTAATAGTAGTGGTTTAATATGAGAAAACTTTTATTTAAAGTATTTTTAGGTGGATTTTAATGATATTTAGTAGAACATGTGTTTAACTCAAAAGTCTGCTGCATATATCGTGTGTTATATTTTTGCTTCATACATAATAATAAGGGTGTGCAATATTCCCATGGAAATTTTCATTGGATTCAAAACAAAATATACTTAACGCAATATAGTAATATCGATTTCGTATTTCATTGTTAATATCATTGATTATGTTACAAATATTTTTTAAATATCTATAGTCCGTGTTTTTATAAAAATATGAGTTTCCAAATATATGGAATATTTATGTATTTCATGGAAGTAACATAAGTGACAGCGTGAAAATACGTAGAAGTCACTTTATATGTATTTTGCTTATCATGCCATTGAGAAATTAAAGGAATTTCATTTTTTTTTACTAATAATCCGAAAGAAAATGTCTATGGATTAATTCATATATTAAAAAGGAAACATATGATACCTCATAATAAAAAAAACAGCTGTTATGTTTTAATGTTTGATCTCCATACTAAAAATTGGTATTTGTATCAGGCTATTTCTAAAAGTCATTATTCTAGGCCACATTTGACATCTCTGTCTCAACTTCAAAGTAACCTTGTAATATAGTAAACATAGTATTATAAATATTATAGTTTTTCGAAAGTTACGGCAACGGTACAATTTCAAATTTCTTTATTATTATAAATATATTTATTGTCATAATATAAAACTAAAGCAATTTTACGTTTTAGTTTGACCAATATACCTTTCTAAATGTAATAAATCTATTTGATTCTAAACAAATTGACCGCCGCTACAATGTTATGTCTGTGGACTCGTTTTCTTTTTAAACTGTAGGGATGTATCCAAAAAATCGGAAAGATTGTTTTGTCTACTCGGAAGTTGATTTTATAATTATTTATGAAAACATGATCAAATAACCAGCGCGGAAATTTTTTCAGTAATTTTTTTTAATTTTTTAATATAGACTCATTTATTACAGTTCACCAGAGTAAATTTAGATAGCAACAAGAGAGCTATAAGCATATCTCTAGCTAATGGTATCAAGATGAAATTACAAATTCAAATGTATTACTATGTTTCTGATGATCCTAAGAGGATGAATAAATATTCAAGACCTCCAGGTGCTTACCTGATGAGGACTATGGATGATAAACCAGAGATATTGAATGATGGATTCAAAGGGAACGTGTATAAGAACCAAGTGGTACAAGAAATCCACATCAGGTATATCAAAATAAATCAAAAGTTTTCATATTTTTCATAAAATTGGCATTCGCAATGCTATATAGAAGTTTATTTATCCAGTTTCAGACAACAAAGCCATAGAATACGACGATTTTGAAGCGATTATTTGTTTCACTTTTATTTACTTTAATAACTACGAACGATAGTAAAGATTGATGATTATCGACTTTACAGCAGTGTTACCAACTTAGTCATTTATCTCAAATTTATTCACAAATGTTGCCATTACATCTCTAACATTTCATAGCCTCATTAGGGTTATTTTTGAATTAAACTTCTCTGTATAAATCAAGACAAAGAAAGAAGCAAACTTAGCCGAGTTTCTTGCCGGTTCTTCTCGATACAAAGTCTCCCGCCGTAGGTATATTTGCGAGCCGGTGGCATAGTTGATTTAACAAGAGCCTTTAACAGTCTGGACTGAATAAATGATATTGAATTTGAGTTTCAAAATCAGAATTTAGTTTAGTTTCCATTTAGCTTAACTCTAGGTTTTAAGATCTAGTCATCATTTGGGTTGGCCAATAATATTGTTAAATCAACAAATGATATAATATTTAACCATGGGCTAGTAATCAAATTGTTTATAGGTTAATCAGATGCTATTAATCTCAAAAACTAACGAAGTAATAACATTAAATAGCACTGTATGAAAATCGATTCATCAATTCCTTGTTTATAAAAGATAGTAATTATAAATTAAATAATAGAGGACCTAATATTGATCCTTGGAGCACTCTATAACATTAGGGGTTCTTACAGACTAACTTTTTGGTGTGTCGTGTGTTGTCGATAATTAGCTCTTTTCCCATTTCAATTATGAAATCACAATTTCCATATGGTATTAATGTAATTTAACTACATAATTGTTCGATTCCAATTTCTCAGGTATTCTAGTTGGGCGTCGTTGTCGCTACGTCTGTACCCTCATAGTCCAGTGTTAGAGGTGGACTGGCTGGTTGGACCAATACCAATTGCTGATGGACTAGGTCAGTACCACGGTCGCGGAACAAGAAGAATTTCGTACGTTGACCTTTGAGCTTACTGATTGCTCTCGTTAACATTTTAGGTTTATTTTACTGTGAGAAAATTTGCTAGATGCATCTGTGCGAGCGCAATGTGTTAATGCACGAGTGACAGAGATACTGCCGGGTCATTGTACGAAGTTCTCTCTGTTCGGTGTTATATCGCCGTTGATATGTGTTTGCAATGACAAAACGTGTGTATTGTTACTGTAATAGCCCGATTGAGATGAGTAACTTTTACGATCTTCTTGTAAAATCTAGGATTTGCCATTGTTCAATGATAAAAATCCGAACTTTCAAGAATAGGGATGGAGTAAATAAATACGAGTAAATAAAAGTACTTACTCGATACTTCTCTTTCGATACAGAGTGTTTTGGTATCGATACTCAAGAAGCGAGTACCGAGTAGCATTGTGAAGTTAAGTATTTGTATCGGTACATGATCAGCCGCTCACTGAGGAGAGTCAAAAAACTCGCATGCTCGACTTTTTACTGTGTAAGAAGTCTAAAGTCTGTCTCATGGAAAATTCCCACTGGCGCGGCGTCACTGTCGGATGACAATAAGCATTGCTAACACCTACTTATTTTATGTAGTCAAAGTTCTAGAGAAAGCCCTGCCAACAAAATTTTGAAGTGATAACTAAGTATATGCATCGCTTTTTATGCCTGGACCTGATTCTCTTTCTTCCGTAAACTGAGTATTGCTATTGACTATATGAATATATCAATAGTATCAAATCTACTCTAAAAATCTATTAAAATCACGACTATGGTGAGGTATTTTAAAACTATTCGATACAAGTATCGATACTTTCATTCGCTTCCGAGTAGGTATACTTCATGTCTGATACGGTATCGATACCTTGGTGGTATAGTTCCATCCCTATTGCAAGTTGCTACATATCATAGTGTTACGAAGCGCAGCGGCGCGATGTTTCATCTATCCGTTACTAGATGGCATTACGTGTCACCATGACACCGTCGAAACTCCGTGTGTCATATGAGTATACGGCGTTCGAGAAAGGGATTATCACTGGGAAAGAAAGGGACGGATAGCCGTTCTACAACTTTTTGGTAATTAATGCCTCGAATTCACCGGTTGGGCCAAGGCCAACATATAGAATGGTCTAGGTCTTACTTAACCTAGATCATTGTAGACGTGGCATCGACTCCTATAATAAGCGGTGGGCTAGCCGTCCTGACATTCTTTCAGTGACTAGTCAACTGAATACGAAAGCGAAACAAGAAGCGATAACTAGTGAAGTAAACTATCTGGACGATCTAATAGTGTTGGGAAGTGACCATAGTGACGTGACTAGTGGTGTTAAAGTTTGAGATTTGTAATTGGTTTATTTTTGTAATTTTATTAATTAAATAAAGTCGGATTGAGAATTTAATGTGCTTTGATTTTAATCCCTAACCGGAACCCGTAAGAATCCTTTCAAATGTATAGTTTGAAATATAAATTAATATAATATGCTATAAATTGTAAAACAGGTAAAGAGGTTCTGATCAAATACTCAACGGATTTAGTCAACGAAGGTGTGTTCTACACGGACTCTAACGGTAGGCAGACCATGAAGAGGATAAGGAACAAGCGACCTATGTTCGATCCTGTCAACAAAGACCCTATTACCGGTAATAATTACTATTAGTAATACTTAATATTCGCTGAGTATTGTTTTAACCAATGCAGTGCACGAACCCGAATTCTAATAGGATTGGCGACTGGTTAAAAAAAAAAGAAATTCGACAAAATAGGCGGACTAAACCGTCAGTCAGATAATAGAAAAATATTAGATGCATATTTTTTTTGCTTCAATGAGGAAGTATTTAAATAAAAAAAAAAAAGAAAGCACTATAAAAGCACCCACTAGATGGTGACTTTAGCAAAAGTTGATTTTTGAAGTAAACGAGTGGACCAAAGATAGTCATTTACGTTCCTTTTAAGTAACAAATTTATAAACTGAAATTTGCAAAGTTCGAAACTTAGATATCAATATGAATTTGATATCTAAGTTTCGAAAGAACGAATAAACTCTACCTCTGTTTTAGGCAACTTTTATCCAGTAACATCAAAGATATACATAGAGGATCTATCTAAAAACATTCGTTTCGCTGTACTCAATGACAGATGTCAAGGAGGATCATCATTACAAGATGGCGAAATAAACATTCTGTTACACAGACGTCTTTTAACTGAGGACGACATACAAGAAGCGGCTTTAAACGAAACAGAATATAACCAAGGCACCGTTATAAGAGGGCAACACTATTTATACGTCAGCAAGGCAGACCATAAACCATATAGAGTTTTCGAAAAAAAATTGGCAAAGGAAATAGAGTTGAAGCCACAGATATTTACTTCGCCAGCTTGGGGTTATGGCGCAAGGGGGAAACCTGTGTGGATGTCTCGAATCAATGAATATAGTGGGTTGAAAACAAAATTACCAATCGGTGTTCATATTTTGACTTTGGAACAATGGAACGATAACACCCTGCTGTTGAGGCTGGAGAATTTTCTCGAAAAAGCTGATGTTATACATGCAGGCGTAAAAAAAGTTTATCTATATAATCTATTCACTTTCATTGAAGTTTTAGGTGTAAAAGAGACGACGCTCTCTGGCCACATATTGTTGAAAGATTGGGTGCCACTGTCTTGGAATACAGATAAATTTTTGAAGAGTTACAATGAAGCGTATGGCAGTGGGAAATTCGAATATGTGGATAAAGAACCTAGAGAATTACGTGCTGTAGATGTCAATACACCTATCGAGTTAACTCCACAACAAATCAGAACATTTGTGATAGAATATAAATATGTATGATTTATTTTTTGATGCATTAAAATGTAACCAAATATATTTTTTGTTTTTTTTTTTCATTCACTATATCTGTTACGCTGAAAGATTGAAAGCAGACAGAATCAGAATCACGGATTTCGCTATGTAGTTATTATGCGAGCGAGTGCCACAACGCGCTTTGAACTATTTTTTCGCTCAGTGAGCAATTTTAATCTTTGAGTCTACTTTCATTGCATTAATTTCGCTACCAATTGCACATGCTAACGTCTAGCCAGTTGCACAAACGTCCATTAAAATTGTCATTAGTTTAAACAACATTACCCATACAAATTTGACATTTATTAGAGCTTGAAGGCGTCATTAAACCTTTAATGAAATATGTGCAACTGACGGTAAGTAAAAAATATTTAACTGCTGTAATTATAACATTATATAATTTCAGTACAAATAAATAAACACAATTAATTTAAACTAAGGAGTAATGGCGGGATTTTTATAGCGCAACTTGTTCGTAAATTGCATAATTTTAGTGGAGTTTTATTCAATTTAGTGTAGTGAAACTGCATTATTGTAGGGAAGGTGAAACTCGACTCCGTTGTGATATCTTGTGTTGCTCCGTTACTCCGCTTGACATGGTTTAAGTATTGTTCCACCACTATATCTGAGCTCTTAACATGACTGAAACATGGACTATGACTTACTTAAAACATTTTGAGCTCGATTTGGGCAAAACTTGATATGAATTATTTACTTGATACTGGCTATATGTATAAACCGTGCGAAGGCATAGAAAAATTAAGAAAAAAAAACTGCAACTAACGGCCTTGGCTGTACTTTTGGTTTAAACAAAACCCAAGCGATTTAAACAAAACCCATTCAATCGGAGGTATGGGAAAAAGTATTCCCGCTACTCCTACCGAATGCATTAACTAGTGTCGCACCACCATCATTAAAACATTAGTTTCCGAAATCAAACTAGATGTCGCTACGGTACGTTCTTGATTTCTTCATGACAACCCTTCCGGTTTTCTTTCATGTATAAAAGTAAATTAGTTTTCAAAACTCAACAAACAACTCATATTCTATTTGTACTTTTTCGTATTTGTATTGATATCTAAGTTTCAAACTTTGCAAACTTCAGTTTTTTAATATGTTAGTTAAAAGGAACAGAAATGACTGTCTTTGGTCCATTCGTTTCCTGCAAAATATCTTTTTTTTTTTAATACTTCCTCATTATATACTGAAAAATATTTTTAAGTAAATAATATGAATTTTTAAACATTTTTCATTATAACACTGTAAATTCAAAATTGATCAAATATAAAAAATACAGTTAATTAAATGCTATTAAAATTACGTTCAATTACCAGTTAATTACGCTTATTATAATTTAAATCTCATTATCAACGTAATTTCTTTTTTCATAATCCATGTCTTAGGAATTAAAAAAGTAAAGTATATTTAGAGCATAAATTTTATTTTAATATAATAACTACATTATAGAAATGATTTAACTAAATCGTAGAAAAAGTGACTATCCATTAGTTCTTTTACCATCTGATATACATAAACAGTACTTTACACAGATCAAGAAAAAATACAATATTTAGAATAAAGAAAAGAAACACTATAGAAAAAAATCTACAAGACAATACACAGAGAAAAAAGACCTGATCATTTGTATGCAAAAAAAAACTTAACGAAAAAGATTTACAAACACTAAAAGAACATCAAAATCACAATCTAATAAATTACAATCTAGATTCATCAAAAATTTGCCTTAATCTTAACAATGAATTATTCCAATTCATATTGGACAATGAATGTCCTTATTTCTTTAGCGTCCAATTTAATTTTGTTGCCGTCATCTACTTCCTTTACTCTATCCACAGCTCTTGGTGTTTCAGCGAAACTTCCATAATCCACATTGAAATCCTTAGCAAATTCCTTATTCGTCCTCCAAACCCATCTGTTATAATCTTTCAATAGTTTATCACCACTCAATACTGTCTCGTCAACAGATCTAAGTTTAAAACCTTTAATTACTTTATCCAAATCAATATTCTTAGTGGAATCACTAGATTTGTCCAAATAATTCTCGAATCTAATCAAAAATCTATCACCACTCAAAGGCTCTAAAGTTAGTAAATGCACACCGACTTCTAAAGCTTCTTTTAACCAACTCTTTTCAGTGTTCAAAGATTTAAATTGTTCATAAGAGATATCTTCAGCGTCAGTCACAAACACATCAGGTTTACTCCTCATTTCTAAGACATCTTTAAACGAGAATTTATCATTATTTACACCGAATACCCTTTGATAACCTGTGACAACTAAACCAACACCGTTTACGGTTTCATTTAACGCTTCGCCGACTCCAAAAGCGTCATCGTGCAACAGACGTCTGTGCAACATAATCTCTATTTGCCCTTCTTGTAAGGAAGCCCCACCTTCTGGCCTATCAGGAACAATTCTCAAAGATCCATCTTTAGCAGCGTTTTCTACTATAGCAACACCAACTACAGGATAATAATTGCCAGCCACAGGTTCCGCCAAAGTCAAATTCCATTGAGGACGCTCATTCAGCTTCCTTTTCAAGAGAGTTCTACCGTTTGAATCAGTCATAAATTCACCATTAGTGACCAAATCAGCTGTGTACTTCATAACATACTCTTTGCCTACACCATCAGTGTCTACAATTGGTCCTATTAACCAGTATAGTTCATTATATGTTAGATTATTAGCATCCTTATAAACGCGGTTGTAGAATTCAAAGTTATCTGACATTATAGATCTGTGTTCTTCGAAAATATGACCCGTTATTTTTGTGTCAGTGAGAGTTTTCAGTGGTGTAGCATTTGTAGCGTTTGGACGGAAAATGTATGCACCAGATGATCTGTTTGCGTATATCATATTGTTACCAAGACATGCTGGGTAGTAAGCGGGGTTGTATGACAATGTATGACCAGATATCCTTTCATCTTTCTTGTCGATAGTAGACAGAATTGCCTGCGGATTATTTATAAATTAAGTAGAAAATCTTTCATCATTTAGGGTATCTATAACAAGTAATTACTTGGGAAAATGTCATAACTTAATAATTTCTTAAAATTTTCATTCGCGTTTATATTCGCCTTCATGATTTATGTAATATATTGAATTTCATTTAAGTGAACACGGAACCTGTAAAGGATCCGGAACCTAATGTAAGCAAATATAAACGTGCTGAGATCGTTTTAATTAGTTTTAATATTATAACTGAAGTAAATAAACCAATAGCCGAGAATTTTAATGAAATGAGAACTGTTAATAGATACAATAATAATAATATTCCAACTATCAACAGTTTAAATTCAAATTCTTGTTTATTTTGTAAATATATCTGCTCAAGTTATGACATGTTCTCAAGGAATGACTTCTCTCGACTATAGACGCGAATGTAAGAGGCATAAAGCCAAAAGAAAGTCGAACCATATAATTGCATTGCGAGTTATCGAATTGAACGAAGTTAACCAGTTGGCTGAAACATAATCGCTCACTGAATAGTACAGTGGCACAACTCAAAAACCATTATTTCGAGAAACGCTCATCGAAGTTATGAAAATCTAATATATTTATAATTATGAAAATCAATTTTTTTTGCATAACAGTTATATAGTTTGTATTATATTATTACTGTTAAGTTTTTTATTTTTTCTTTAAATTATCTATGGGATGCCACCACAATGTTGTGGCGTTTTCTCGAAATAATCTCGAAATTTTTGAGTTGTGCCACTGTACTATTCAGTCAGCGATATATAGTGCAGATTGAAAAAAAAATTAAATTTGAAATTGCCATTTAGTCAACAAAATAATCCAGGTTCATTATGAGACTAGATTTATTGGTCATATTCACATTGAACAATAACTATTTATAGAATTGCACAATTGTCTAACTGTGATAGCGCTATATGGAGTTGTGTAAGTTTTAATCACAATTGTTTTTGGAACGAACGATTCATTGAATGATATAAATGTCATAGACAATTTTCAAAGATAATATTATGTGGCTATCGCTTAGCTTAGTCAATTCATTTTAACGTCAACTAAAAGTTTTCGTTCATTCGATATCTTTCAAATGTCAACTCAAAGTGTTTGTGATAGATTTTAAAATTAGTTAATTAGGTTATACCTATTATATATATATATATATATATATATCATCATCATCAGCCCTTTAACGTCCCCACTGCAGGGACTCAGGCCTTCCTTATGGATGGTTATAGAGGATGGGCCATGACCCTCCACGCTGGCCCAATGCGGATTGGAGGGTATTAACGACTGCAAATGCAGCCGGGACCGACGGCTTAACGTGCCTTCCGAAGCACGGAGTAGTGGGAGATAATAATTTTTTTGGTCACCCATCCCGTGACCGACCCATGCGAAAGTTGCTTAACGACTACGATCGCGGGCCGTGGCGCTTATCCACTACGCCACCGAGCTACTAATATATATATATATATATATATATCTATATATATATATATATATATATATATATATATATATATTAGTACCCTCCGCCAGCGGCCTCGCTCGCGTTGTCCATATAAATTTCACCCCCCCCCCCCTGTTACATCCCCTAAGGGGTTGAATTTCTAAAACTCCTATCTTAGTGTTTACTTACATCATGAAAGGAAACCCTGTACCAAATTTCAAGTTTTTATGTATAGTATTTTCCGCTATATATTTATCTATACTTATATTATAAAGAAGAAATATTTGACTGTGGAAATTTGTATGGGAAATCACCATTATTTATTTTTCAATGAAAAAGTATTTAAAAAATTAGTTCCCGAAATCAAACTAGATGTCGCTACGGTACTTTCTTGATTTCTCTATGACAACCCTTCCGGTTTTCTTTCATGTATAAAAGTAAATTAGTTTTCAAAACTCAATAAACAACTCATATTCTATTTGCACTTTTTCGTATTTGTATTGATATCTAAGTTTCGAACTTTTCAAATTTCAGTTTTTTTAATATG